CCTTCCTTCCGAGGAGTGGCTGGTGGGTTTGAACCGCCAGTCGTCTGGTTAGCAGGCAAGTGTCTTAGCCACTATGCTACCAGAGCTCCCTTTAAGAAGGTAGATCTTGGAAATATTTCCCAGATGTCTGTTTCCTAACATGGCTGTTCTTCTCTCCCCAGAAAAAATTGCCTGCGTCCTCCCCTCTGAATGTGAGAAATATTGCGGCACCAAGGTTGGCTGTTCCAACATCGCATATCCAACCTTAGTGGTGGAGCTCATGCCCGATGGTAAGAGTTGGTCCCTGCTGGTGGAGTCTCTTTGGGAAGGCTGATTGGGCTCAGCTGCCACATACTTTTCTGTGGGCTTTCTTGGGCCAAAGCTGTTTCTGAGAATGGGGGTGGGGACAGTAGGGAAAGCCTCATTCTGGGTGTCCTCAGTTTTTGAACAGGTCTTCCCTGAGGGAGAAAGAGATTTATGACTTGGTTGGGCTCTATGAGTTGTAATAGGGGAAAAGACCATAGATTCAAACAGATTCAATGGAGACATTTTTAGTAAGTCTTAGGCTGGACAAGGACAAAATAAAGACAATCATTCAGCATGAGGGAAACCATCAGCATGTACACATCATATACATAGCTAACTGGAGTCTGCTGAGTCATGGCCATGGGGCTAATTATATGATTGAAAACAAAGAGAATCTTCACAAAATCATGATCGGTGGCATATCGATTCATCACTGTTGCAGGAGGGAGTACAGAAGCAAAGAAAAGACCATGACTAGGATACATACATAACTGAAGATAGAAAAGGATTCCAGAATTGTTTTTGGGCCTTGACTACCTGGCTAGGTGGTGGTCTGGATATGACTCATAACCATGTAGCCTGAGTCTTAGCCACAAGGTGGTTGGTTACCAAACAATACCAAGACCCCAACCTTAATTTAAATTAGAAAAGGACACACTCAGGCAAGTCCCCTAGCTCTTTGTGTAAGCCTAATCTACTTTCAGACACACTTTTCATGAAGGCATCTGAAACTCATGTCAAGCCTCAGTATGGAGTTAGGGCTCCCACTATAGATCACAGCCTTCCACAAACCAAGTGCTTTAGAATTTAAGCTCTAATACAGGCTTAATGAGTCCAGTCAGGCTTGAAAAGGAGATCATCTGGAAACTTGTTAGGGAAACACATAAGCTTTTTATGCTCATCTAGAAGGCCTTTCAAAGCTCTTAAACATATTAACATGAAGCCTCAAAGTAAGGGTCCTAAGTCCAAGGGAGTTATACCTGGAGCATGAATAGCCATTCTAAGGAAATAGATGGAGAAAAAGGCAAGGACTGATTTTAGTTCTAGAATGAGGAAGTTTGAAGCAGTAGGTGGATGGGCTACAAGGGAGATTCTTACCATAAAGGGCTATCCCAGGAGATTGAATATTTAACGTTGAGTCTAGAATAGCTACAGTCTTGGAAATGATCTTTGAGCTTTCTGGTCATGTTTCATGTTGAAGAAAAATTCTAGCTCAAGGAAAGCAAGTGTGGTTAGGTTAGTGGGTCTCAGAAGACCAATTATTCAAAGGTATCAACCAGAAAAATTTTGAATAAGCTTGTGAAACTTTATTATTGAACTGAAAGACCATCTACTCAAATACTTTCATTTTTGACTTGGGAAGACTGAGGCTTACAGAAGAAAGGTGACTTTTCCAAGGCCAAGCAACTAAGTGTCTACTACCTTTGCTTGCTTAACTTTGCTCAAGGCTGGAGTTGAAGAACTTGATGCATGACCTTAGGCAAGCTATTTGCATTTAAATTCTATGAAAATGGAAGTAATAGTTATCTATTCCACTGAGCCTGGCTGCTTAGTAATTAAATTTGCAGTTAGCAAGAGTCATAATGGCCTTTTTAGAATTCTGGTTTGGATTACAGCTGCTTCTATTAGGCATGTTTATTTCTTTAGGTTATCAGAGGTGGGGGTAGGAAAATAGCTCAGAACATTGTGCTAGGGTGGATTGTACATGACAGATGTGTGGCACAAAGCACACTGAAGAACTGTGTTTACACGTGCCATTGCCATCCCCTCTCCTTCTCCTGCCATCTGGCATCTTTCTTGACCCCTCGGCAGTATTCAGCATTATTGATCACTTGTCCTTTTTGTGGCATGGTGCCTAAGGCATTTGACTGCTAACCAGAAAGCTGGCAATTCAAACCCACCAGCCACTCCTTGGAAGGAAGACTGGGCAATCTACTTCCGTAGTGATACTGCCTGGGAAACCTAAGGAGCAGTGGCTATGAGTCAGATCCGACTTGAGGGCAGAGCGTTGAGTTTGCGTTGTGTCCTTTTTGAGTTCCTTTCATCCATTAGATTCCATGGTACTAAACTCTCCTATTTATCTTTTTCTTTCTTCTTTTTCGGCTGCTTCTTTTGATCTCATTTTCAGATTCAACCTTCTCTACACCAACAGTAAGTATTCCCCCCACTTCTGCTCCTTTTGTCTTCTAAGTATTTCTTGTATTCTTCTCCCTTTCTCTAGTTTTGAGATGTCATTATTTCTTTTTGAATTTTTATTGTGATTTGGGTGAAAGTTGACAGAGCAAATTCATTTTCAAATTCATATATACAGTAGTGCATGCACATTTTGTTTCATGACATTGACCACAGTTCCCTACACTGTTATTTCTTGCCTGGATCACTGTGTTCGGCAAATGAATGAGGATTCCATCACAGTGTAGTCTGCAGGGGAGAGGTCCATGTCAGCTTAGCAATCATCTGGTGAAGTAATGCTGAGCAAATGACAGAGCTAGGACTAGAAACCCTATCAACTAACTTCTTGAAATGGATCTCAGTTGTAGCCACTGAAAAATGAGAGAGTTGGAATAATCTCCATAACTCTTTCTACAGTGACAATAGCCTGTGATCCCCATTATAAAAACCCAAGAAGAACCATGAGCTCCCTGACCTCCACCTTCAACAGGCCCTAATAAATGTCAAAGTAATTGGAATAGGCAGTTTTCATCACTCATCTTGCAAGACTATAGATGAAATCATAAAATTATTTATAGATAAAAAGGCAAGAGAAATGACAGAATCATGTTCCAAAATGATTTCAAGAGCCAAGAATGTTGAACCAAATTGAACAAATTGAAATCTAACAGAGGTAGAAGTCAAATTCTATATCTTTAGGTTCCCTCAAACCTAATTGTATAAGAGCATTGCAAAAACCTAAGGATGTATGTCTTGGCAAAGAGCCATGAGTTCAGGGGTCATGAGTTATCTCTGAACATGTGAAAGATGATAAACTAGTTGAAGAGTTAGACTGGATCCAATGTGTAGCTGAAGTACTGTGTCTAAAGAGAGGTAGATTTCAGGCTAGTCAGTACTGTCCAAGAGGGAACAGGCTCCCTGTGGAGTGGCGGATTTCCTGTAACTGGAGGGTTTGGGCAGAGGAAATGTTGTGGAAGGGACTGATGTATCAGATGGATAGTTGACTCCTGGTGGTTCAAACCCACCAGCCACTCCTTGGAAGGAAGATGGGGCAATCTACTTCCGTAGTGATACTGCCTCGGAAACCCAAGGAAGGGTCGCTATGAGTTGGATCCGACTCGATGGCAGTGAGTTTCGTTTTTATTTTGGTTTAAGTTTACTTTTACTCCTGCGACTATGTGATGTGCCCCTTAGCTTGGTCTGGCCTTTCAGCTCAAGCAGGTGCAACTTTATGCCCTCATTGGCACAGGAGAGAGAAGAGATTGTAGCCAGCCATGCATGCCATGATGGAGAAAACTTTAACAATAACACTACCTTGTTATAATTTGGGCAAGTATAACATTTAGAACATCAAGAAACGATTTGGTTCTTGGAAGAGTTGAAAATAGAACCTCTTCTTTTGCCTCCTAGTTTAAATCTCTTTCTGCTATATCATGAATATTTTGGGTGGGAGATCTGTACAAGCCCCCTCAGGTGGAAACTCTCTTGCTTTCTTTCTCTCACACCCACACACCCACACACCCCCACCACCATCATCGTTGTATCATCATCATCCAATTGCAACAGTATTTACCCAATATATATTTTCCCTCAGTTTTTTGTTGGCCTATGTGGGACTTGCAAAACAATTTGAAGCCACAATCCATTCCTTTAATCTTGTGGTCTTTCTGGGTAGATAAGCTGGAGAACACAGCTTGGTATCAGAAGGTCCTCACACTTTCCAACACGAAAGAGTTGAGGTGCTATGGGTGCTGATCAGGATCTCTTTTTCTTTTCTAGGACTGCGAGGCCTGATGCTGTCAGTCATGTTGGCCTCTCTCATGAGCTCCTTGACCTCCATCTTCAACAGTGCCAGCACCCTCTTCACCATGGACATCTACACCAAGGTCCGGAAAGGAGCATCTGAGAAAGAGCTCATGATTGCAGGAAGGTAAATGTGGCTCCCCCCACCAAAAGAGCGTGAATGATCTGCGCTTCCCCTCAACACACAGAAGGATTGGCAGATGCCTGGGTAAATTTAAATTGGAGATTATCCAGTTGCCCCTCTGGAGCTAGAAGTGACATCAAAGATTATCCAATCTAACCCTCAGGCTATCGATGAACAAAATGAGGCCTAGAAAATGGTCCTGTTTAAGCCCATCCAATGGACAGTGGCAGAGCCAGGACTGCAAGTCCTTTATGTGGCTCCATTCTCAGCCAGCAGTTCTCTAAACTGGCATTTTTTTTTTTGAGGCCCCGACCCTTCAGACGCCTCAACCCGTTGAAGTAACATTTTGCAGAACCACTGTGAAGGTCAAGTGAGATTGTGTTTGTGAACATGCTCTGCAAAGTCTAAAACACCATGCTATGTGCACATTTACTATTGTCCAAAGGGCTAAGAGACATAGCAGGATGCCAAAAGCATCCATGGGGCCAAGCTGCTTATTATCACTATTATTTGTGGAGCAATGCTCTGGGTAAAGGTTTAACTACTAGTAGTATTTCCATGGGACCACAGCAGGTCAACTTCTCAGGTCAACAAGTCCTTTGGATGTCATTTCAGGAAAAATTTCCAGGGGGGTACCTAGGAGGGATGTGGAATTCCACCTCAAAGATCTCATGAGAGATTAGGTTAAATGAAGGAAAGAAGAAATGACAGGTTGTTCTCAGGTGACAGGACAGCCTCAGTACCTTGTCTGATTTTTCCATAAGAAGAAGTTAACTGACTTTTCTTGTTCTTTGTAAGGCTCAAGATCCAAAATGGACAGAGAGCCATTTTGCTGCTGTGCTCATGTCTAGAGCCCATGACCCTGAGATGATGATGGGGCTTGTATTTCTGGGCATTCCGTAATTGCTACCCTGGGTCTTATCCCTCCCTGGAAAAGCATATAGTTACAAGAAACAGTTCCAGACTCAGCTGTGGAAACTTTAAGAGTGATCACGGGCTCCACCAAACCAAAAAAAAACCAAACCCACTGCTGTTGAGTTGGATCCGACTCATAGACCCCTCCTTGGGTCTCCGAAGCAGTATCACTATGGAAGTAGATTGCCCAGCTTTCCTTCCGAGGAGTGGCTGGTGGGTTTGAATCACCAGCCTTCTGGTTAGCAGTCAAATACCTTAGGCTCAGAGAGGGAGAAATGAGCATTGCAGGCTGTAGTCAAGGATGGCTCTTGGGGAAGGAAGAACCTGAGTTTAAAGTGATGAGTAGGATTTGGTAAGTGGGTGGCAGTGGAAAGGGCATTCCAAAGAACACAATACTGCTATGTGAAGGCCAGCCTAAGACTCTTTTGCCTTAAATTTGGGTGAGGTAAGGGAACACAGCCTTCTTTCTAATTAAATCAAAAGTACTGGTAAGAAGGGCTTGTACGGGAACCCTCCAATCTTACAAGGACTTGAAATGGAACTCAAGAAGGAGAAAGTTAGAAGGACCTGGTAATGTCTCACTCTAGACTGTTCCTTTATGCATTCTTCTTGTTTTATAGTTTTAAGTTTATTATAAGGAAGAAGAAAATATTACCACTAGTTTTTATAATGTATTGAGTGTATACTATTTGCTAGATGTTTTACTATCACTGATCCTTGTGATGTTGGTCATATTATCTCCAGTTTCCAGATGAGGAAACCAAGACTTGGAGAGGTTGTCTTAGCCAAAGTTCTCTAGAGAAATAGAACCCTGGGTGGTGCAAATGGTTAAGCACTACTAACCAGGAGGTTGGCAATCTGAATCCACCCAGAGGTGCCTTGAAGAAAGGCCTGGTGATCTACTTCTAAAAGGTCATGGCCATTGAAAACCCTGTGGAGAGCAGTTCTACTCTGACATACATGGCATCACAATGAATTGGAATTGACTTGATGGCAACTGGTTATATATATATA